CAGCCATCTTACATGCAACTATTGGTCTCCCCTCATCTGGAGCAAAGAAGAGTGAAGAAAATCAAAGTCATTTGGAAACAATAAGTCCAAGGATATGGACCACAGGGACCTCAGCCTTCACAGCGCTGAGATCAGAAGAACTAGATAGTGCCCACCTACCAATGCCAACCACTCAGAAAGGGATCAAAATTGGAGATCTTGGATAGAGTGAGAGGAAAAAATGTGGAACAAAATTCAAAAACACAAAAATAACCAGAATTAATGGTCAGATAGAGGCTGGGGGAACCCCCAAGGTGATGGCCCCAGGTTACCCTTCAGGCTAGAACTGGACTCACTTCTGTGGATTAGCTCTCAGCCAAACAGTAGGCTGTTCTAAGGAGATGCACCCACCTACCCTAGGGAGATGCACCCCCTAGGTCAATGAACCATGAGACATCAGAAAGGCAGCATTTGCATAGAGGAAAAGCGGGACGGACAGGAATGCATAGATGAGACGGGCACAGAGAAGGCACAGGCTCAGGGAGGAGATGGAAGCAGAGCTTCTTATGGTTGGGGATTGTAATCAGGGCCATGAAACCAAATGTGCATAAACTGTTGTGTGTAAAATGAATCTGTTTTGTAAATTTGCACCCACATCACAATAAAAAATAAAAATAAAAAAATGTCAAGGAGGAGCTAAAGAAAGTAGTTTCCCTTTACCCATGTCCAGCTAGGCTCCTGGATAAGAAATGTCTCCTGCCAGGAGTTGGGACCCAATGCCTGGAAAGAAAAGGCAGCAAGTGTTAGGGATAAATGTTGGCTCCAGAGCCTGGAAATATCTCCTAAAGGACCACCGAATTTCCCATCAGGAGGGCCCTCTGTTGACTCAGATTGGCCCCCTCCCCACAGGAAGCCAGCCCCAGTGACTCCCCGGGATGGGAATGCTCCCATTCCCATCTGCTCCCAGGCCCATAGGCACATGCTACAAGCAGGAGTCACACAAATCCCTGTCCTCTTCAGTGGCTTTTCCACTCCTTGAATGGGTTGACTTGTGCCAGTCTTTGGTTATGAATTCAGTAATTTAATATTTGTTAAAGCACAGACATCCTTTTCTCCAGGAGTCTTGTTAAAATGTGAAACCACAAAGAGAAGTGGACTAGGAGTCAGGGGGGCTCCTAACTCTGTAAAAATCACTTCATCTTTCCAACCTTGACCCTCTCTAACAATAACTCTTGCCAGTGCTTAAGGAGACAATGTACACAGGACCATCCAGTTTCACTGCAACACCACCCACACACCCTAAGCACCCAACCACAGGCCAGGATGCTTCACGAGATGATCTCAATTCAGCCTCATCACGGCCCAACAAAGTGCAAAACCATCCAAAGTTACACATGGAAAACACCCCGAACCATCGGACTACTCCCCATTCCACTAGGAATCCAAATTCCACACACAAAGGCCAAGAAAGCAGCTACCCCCAAGTTGGCCACATAGCGTCCCTGCTCCCAGGAGGGACCCAAGGTGGAAGGTGGATACAAGTGCAGAGGGAGAGCGAGTCCCCTGCAGAGCCATCCTAACCTTTCACCCTCAAGAGCTGATGGAAGACTATGGCAAAAAATGTCATCTTCTCCCCCAAAAAAGAAGTGAATATGGCTATAAATGATCCCAAGCAAAGAGCTGGACATCTGTGGATTCACATTCACATGAGGGGTCTTAGACATTCTAAAATAAATGAGAGAGTGTCAAAACAGACATTCAGAGTTTGATGGCAACCATCCAACATGCCTGTGCTCTGAAGACTGAATGATGGAGGGCCGTGGGTCAGTCTGGCTTAGGAGGAAGGGACCCCAAGCAGATAAATAGTGCCAGGGAAAGGCAAACATTTGCAAAACCCTAAGAGGGCTTAGAGGAGCTCTGGTAGCACAGTGCCTAAGGCACTTGACTGCTAACCAGAAGGCTGGCAGTTCAAACCCACCAGCCACTCTTCAGAAGGAAGATGGAGCAATCTACTTCCATAGTGATACTGCCTCGGAAACCCAAGGAGGGTCGCTATGAGTTGGGGCCGACTCGATGGCACATAATGACACAAAACAAAATGAGGGCTTAGCAGAAAGGGAAAAAAATCATAGAATGAAACCAAGAGAAAATATATGTAGGTTGATTTTTCCCCCAAAACACAGACCTGTCTTGCAAGGGTTAGGTGAGACAAAGAAGGCAGGGGACAGAAAATAGACTCTCCTGGGGCCAAGTCAGAGAAGACCAGCTGCCTGCAGGTGCCAGAGTAGCATGAGCCACAAGATAAACAGACTTTAAAATGGTGCATCTGCTGGGAAGGCCTTGTGTCTCCAGTGATCAAGTTATAAATAAATAAATAAATAAA